ACACACACACACACACACACACACACACACACACACAGCCTAAAGTGTTTAACCAATTCAAGTCCAATTATTATCAGTTACATTTCATGCCTTTTCAAGACCAGGCCTCCTGATGGCAGCTAACACAGAAAAATAGAGTCTAAAAGTCGATTATAAAGCTCCTAATTCAGTCTCTAGCATCCTAGCCATTCAATATAAAATAAAGTCTGTAAGGCAACAGAAAATTGGGGGGAAAAAACACACCCAAACATACTGTAAGAGACTTTGGTACATCCCTTTTGCTTTCCCAACCCCTTTTCTTATTCTGCACTCAGCGAGGAAAAGTTTGAGTCGCCCCCATCCTGGCAACTCCTCCTCTCCAGTGGGAAAAACCCTTTCAGAGCCACAAACAAAGAACAGCTCACCAGAAAAGCCCCTGACATTATGTTCTCATGCCTGGTAATCACTATTGTGATCTCCTTTCTAAAACCCTGCCCATTTGCAAAGGACTTTACAGATATCAGTAGCATTTATGCTGCCAAATGCCAACACAGGGACTCCAATGAAACTATTATCTGTCCTTAAAGAGAAAGCTACAATTCTGGGTCCGCTGCTTCTCTCCTCTGTCTTCCAATGCTTCATTAACTCCACTGGCATGTTACTCATTTCAAAGAAGCAGGAAGAGATGATGGGGGAGAGGACGAAATAATAATTCACATGCCTGTCTGCTTCCCATCCCGAGTGCAGAACAAACCACACTGCTCGCCAGACTGTGGGTCGAGTCATACCTTGGTCTGGAGATAATGAGGGTAGTAGTAAGTGTACTGGGGGTACATTTGTGGCTGGTCCAGGCGTTTGCCCATGTAGCTGGAATCTTTATCTCCGAGCAGGGAACTGGATGACAGGGTATAGAGCCCCAGGCCGAGCTTCCTCCAAAACCACTATTCCTGACAGTCCGGTGACTGGTAAGGCTTCAGAGACTCCACCACTGCTAGTTCCAACACGGCAAGAATTCAAGAAGCAAAGCAAAACAAAACACACACCAGAAAAAAAGGTAAAGAGTGGGATCTGTAGGAAAAAAAAACAAACAAGCCAACCAAAAAACCCAGCCAGACAGCCTCCTCGGATCTTGCAAGCTTCTCCCAGCTGCCAGGTCCACTTGGGATGAGGCAGTTTGTTCTCTAACCAGGCTGTCTGTAGTGATGTCAATTGCCAGCGTTTGTAAAGGGGGGAAAAAATCAAAGTCCTTTTAGCACAACTCCAAATCTTCACAGATCAGCTTCTTCTCTCCTGTTTGTCTTTCCCAACCTTAAAGAAAAAGAGAAGGAAAAAAAGAAAGAAAGAAAGAGAAAGAAAAGGAAGGAAAAAGGAAAAAAAAGAAAGAAAAAGAAAAGGGGAAAAAAAAGAAAAAAAAAAGAAAACCGTGCACAGCTTAGTTGCTGCTGTCTCCCTCCCAGAGTGACATGGTGTTCGGGGCTTGTCCTGTCCTTTCATTCACTTCCCCTCCTTCCAGCCAGTGGGTGGAACCGAGAGAGCCTCTCCGGGGAGCGGCGTACGCAGTCCAGAAGGCTGCAGTATTTCCTCTAAGAAAAAAAAAAAAGAAAAAAAAGAAAAAAAAAAAGCTGCTTCAACCCCTGCTGCAAGCAAAGTTCCGATTCCCTCTGCTGGCTATCTCGAAAAGCAAAGCGATTTTGGCACCACAGCTGCTGCGGCTGGAACAGAAACTGGAGAACTCAGTTACGGCGGGGTGGGGGGCGGTGGATTATTTCTTACCCCTCCCTCCACCTAGCCCGCACCAGAGCTACCTTCTTTTCTCCTCTCCTCTCCTCTCCTCTCCTCTCCTCTCCTCCCCTCTCCTCTTTTCTCTTTTCTTTTTCTTTCTCTCTATTCTTTCTCCTCCTCCTCCTCCTCCTCTTCTCTCGCCAAGTTCTGAGGTAAGTCACGCTGCTAAACAAAACAGGGAGGACCATGGGAGGGAAGAGAAGATGAGGGACGAAGGAGGAGAACTGGGAAAACCAGAGTCGTGAAGGCAGAGGCACAAACCCAGATGGCTGGATGGAGAAGACAGTGCGTCTGGGGCACTTTCCAAACCTGTTAACACAAGCGAACCGGAGGCACCCAAGACCTGCTTGGGAAACTAATCTTTTACTTCGTGGAGGACATAGAGTATCAAGGAGATTTTAGAGTCTACTCCAGGACTTCTGTTACCCAGCCATGCACGATCCAAATGGACTCATTAACTTAATATACCAGAAATAATAATTCTTGTACTTACATCTATTTTGTAAAAAATCAAAAGAAGTGACCCCTTAGGTTTCTACACTTCTTTATAAATAAAATCTTTCCCCCATTGTCTCTCTCTTTATGATTATTTTGATTCATGGATGCTTTAATCGCTTTACTGTTACTATCTTCAAAAGAAATGAACACACACAAAAAAATCATAATTACTTGGCAGAGTTTTTTTTTTTTTCTGCACCAATAATAATATTCTGACATGTCTATCAGCTGCTACATTATAATACAAATTGTTTCCGAGAAAATATATTTCCTTAAAGGGTCTCTTTTCAAGGAGGCAGCAAGGCTAAAATTAGACTCGCCAGCTGTGTTGTGCTGGGAGTGCGCACGCATGCCCGCAGTGTGGGCGACCACGCGGGGCTCCCGGGCACTCAGGCAGGCGGCTCTGTTCTCTCTGCCCAGTCACCTGTGCAGACACATCCAGCTTCCTTGGGACTCAGCGCGAGCACACGCCCCGCCACCTCTCAAGCCAGAGGCTTTTGCACAGGAAAACTGGTTTCTGGACGCTGGGTGAGAGCCCCTGTGTTTGCGGGTGCAAGATGCGGGAGGCGGGTAAATACTGCCTTGTTTTACTTTTGACAAGATTAACAGAAAGAGAAAGAGAGGGGAGACAAGAGGGAGGGCAGGCCCAAGGCCCGGACAAAACTGCAGTTGAGGAAATTAAATCAACTTGGCCAGCGTTTTCATCGTGTTATTCTGGGCCTCAGTTGGCCCGTCCTTAAAATGGTGATCCTGCCAATGTATCTGGTTAGAGGAATTCGACTGAACCAGAAACTAAAAAAGGCATGGATTTAAAGATCCTTTAATAGCATCATACTGCTGAGACAATAAAGTCCTGAGGCCTTGGACTAGTTCTCAACACAGCCTGGGCTGTGCTCCCTAGCGCTCTCCACCCCCATCTCCACCTCCCTCCCTGCAGCCCATCCTCCTGCCATCTGTGGGCTTCTCCTTCTCAGAGCTGCGCTCCCTGCACCCAGGTGCCATGTGTGTTACACCTGCCTTAGCAGGATGCTCATCCTACTCTATGTGTCCAGGAATTCCTTCTTTCTTCCAGGGCGTTCCGGACTCATGACGATCAGGAGACTCTTGCTCACCTTCATAGCTCCCAAACCTAGCACGGATGCAGGCAGGAAAATGGGTGTTCAGTAAATGTTTGATTAACAAAATATCTTTAACGTGATAAATTATTGGAGTCCAACTCCCAGCTTTCTTTCCGTACATTTTATTCTTTGCCAGGATCGGGAACTGAATTAGGTGCGGGGGCTACCGGGATGTGGATCGGAATAAGGACATTCTCTTACAGCATGCATAGTCTTGTGAGGGAGGTAACAAAAGAATAAGCAGATGTGCAGTGTGAGGTCAGAAGGTATCTGGTGCTGTACTGAAACATAAAGCACAGTAAAGAAAAACAAAGTCACAGGGGTTCTTGTTTAAAAGGACACTCTCCACAAAAGAGCTCTGAGGTTAGAGGGAGGGTGTGAACCATGCCTTGGGTTTCTCAGCCCTTCTCAGTGCTTACTGTTAAAGCCTCAGCTTCCAGCCAGCCTACCTGCGTCCCCTGCCTCTTTTCCTTAGTTCGTGAAACAGCACTATCTAGTTTATATAATATTGTTAGAATCAACCAGGATAATCATGGGAAGTTTTTATTAGAATATCTGTTAACATGTGGGTTCTGCTTGAAATACGTCAGCCTGCATCTAGAGGGAAAGCATTCTCATTGCAGGGAGCAGCAAAAGTCAGTAGTGGTCATCGCAATGTGCTTTTGGATTATGCTTGATGAAGCCAAGGCCTGAATTAGGCAGGTAAGCGGTAAAGACCATACAATGATGCTGGAGAGGGTCAGATCACACGTCTTGGTAAGGACTCATGAAAACATAAACTATTGACAATACAATAAGGACTCTGTCCAAATATTTGGATTTGTGATCCAGATGTCTTCAACCATAAACACTGTCACCCTAAATGACCTATTGGAATCCTCCAGACCCTAAGACCTATGAGATAAGTATCCCAGACTGCTCTTGGTATTCTTATACTAATAACCATCCTCCCTCTTCCCCTAAGGGAAAAGAATATGCTCTTATTTACAAATGAAAGGCCAAATAAATAACTCCTCATCCAAAGCTATAGCCCACTTATATGTAAAGTTCCCAGCATGTGTGGATGCTATCAGCAATTTCTACATAAATTGCCACTTTCCAAAATGCTATTCTATTTCATTGCGTTATTGTAATGTTCTGGGCATCAATTGTCATTAGCCTAAGAATACTCATTGCACATTTAAAGCTTTTCTTAAGTAATGGAAAATGGGTTTACCACTTGTGAGAATCATAAAACCTGTGTTACTTTCCCCCCTCAGAGGAACTAGTAGCCATGGCAATTCATGAAGCAAGATACACATGTCAGAAATAGTTTTTATATCATTTCTGCTCTGTTGGAGCAGTAGTGCTTTCCATTTAAATGATCAAGTTAAGGTAGGAGGTAACTGGTTTAAGGCACTCTCTAAATCAGAAGCCAGCTGTGTCCCATTTGCCAATGAAACAACAAATTTTGAACAAATCCAAGGGCAGCAACTGGCATCATAGGGCATGGACACCCACAGATCCACATGATGTAGGGGTGTGGCAGAAGAGGTGTCCCTTTAAGATGAGCTTTTGAATAATAAGGCCTGTGAGGATGCCTCAGACACAGGTGAGGAAGGGACAGTACTAAAATGAAGGGAAAGGGGGCAGAGATAAAGCCCCCTTTTTGGTTTTCCTTTGTCCACAAAACAAATCGCTAAGTCCTTTCTTTGAGCAATCCTGTTTTTAAATTATAAAGACAGAGGGAAAAAGAAAAGAAATAAGCATTAAATATATAGAGGAAAACAATAATTCCAGCACTCTATCTTGGAAAGGAGATAAATTATTCTATTATCAAGAATGTGCGTGACCTTGAATAATTCCTTGAATAATCATATTTTTAAATGTTGCCATTTTTAACCCTCTTTATTCAAATTGGTGAAGTCCCTTTTCAATACATTAGTTGTCAAAGGGATGTTAAAAATCAAATTTATTTTAAAGAAGGCAAGATGGCAGATTGTAAATTACAACATGACTTAGAATTGTGCTTTTTCCTATACTTACCTATGGTTTAGAAAAACATCCTAGACAAATAAAGATAAAGAGACAACTGGTGATTCAATGATTTCTGGTACAAATTTAAAACTATAATTAAATATTAAAACATTAATATTGAAAATAAAATGTTGATCACACACCAACCTAGATGTTGCTGTAAGACTTTTTTTTACTGGATTCTAGTATGATTTAAAATAGTATATACTGTATAAAAAATTACTTTTCAAAATATGAGTGGGCCTCATTCAATCAATTGAAGGTCTTAAAAATACTGAGATCCCTTGAAAAGGAAGGGACTCTGCCTTTTGACTGCCTGTTGATTTCAAGATTCAATATTAACCCTCCTCTGTGTCTCCAGACTGCTCACCTACTCTGTTATCCTGCCTTTTGGTCGTGGCTTTCCTGTTCACCAGTGAACACAAGAATCACATGACACACTGCCTTAAAATCTCCCATCTGTCTGTCTCTGTCTCTTGTCTGTCTGTCAATGTCTGTCTCCCTCTTCCGTGTGTGTGTGTGTGTGTGTGTGTGTGTGTGTGTGTGTGTGTGTGTGATTATCTGTGTGCATTATTGAGGACTGAACCCAGGGCCTTTGCACTAAGTTCCCAGTTCTTTTTTATTTTTTCTTTTGAGGCAAAGTCTTGCTAAGCATCTAAATTAACCAAGAAGAGATTGAACTTGTGATCCTCCTGCTTTAGTCTCTCAGAGTACTGAGATTACAGGTGTCACCCCTGCCTGAGAATAAACTTTGAAAGTCCAGAAGAGATGGGTATGATGATCCACACCTATAATCCCTGCACTCAAGAGGCTGAAGCGGGAAGATCTCAAGTTGCAGTCCTACTGGGGGAACTTAGCAAATCCTATCTCAAAAAAAGTAAATAAATAAAAAAGGCTGGGGATGTAGCTCAGTGGTGAAGCAGTCCTCTATTTGGTACCTAGTACCCACCTCATACACAAAGCCCAGACATAACAATATGAAAATAAATTACACTTGTATTTTAACTACCTAACCACTTCCTCTTGATCTACATGAGGCATCCCTTTGACAGAAGTTCAGTGATTATTAATTTTATTATCAAAATAATAGCAAACTATCATTTAAAACCAAAAGGCAAATATCTTCAGAGAATCACTTTATTAATGGCAAAATGTATCTCTGAAATGAGTAAGATAAACCTACAGAATATCCAAGATTTTTTGGCTTTATAATATCACATAATTCTGCCTTTGGATGGTTGTCTTCTACTTTTCTCTCTTTAATTTTTAAAAATGTGAATGCATTTCTG